AATAAAAAAATGTATTTCTGGTTTGTTTGATTCGTTAACCCATTATCTACGCTGCATTCCAAAATTGTTTTTTATCCCCAAAGTTCTAATTTAACTGCTAAACCAATTCGTGTATCCGACTCATCATAAATTTCTTCTTGAATTAATTCTTCAAGAACATCTTCCAATGTTATTATACCAATAGGCTTATTTTCCTCCCCTTTAACCACAATGGCCATGTGACTTCTGCCATCTTGAAATGTATTTAAAATATCAAATAAAGGTGTCTCGGCTGAGACTGTAGGAATGGTATTTATAGGAAAGGTTTTTAACGAACGAGCATCATCTGGACTATACATTATTAAGGACTTTTAAATAAAATAGTATAAGTAATTTTGACTAACGTTAATGATTGTTAATGATTGTTAACAAATTAACAAATTGGGTTCATTTATTTTTATTTTTTTTTTTACCTTGGTCAGCAAAACGCCAATGATATTTTGACGTGATCCTCCAAATATGGGAATCCTTGAGTGACCTGTTGAATAAATCTCTCGCATGGTTATTCTATCCATGACAGTATCTATAGGTAACATGTAAACCTAATCAAGGGAAGAAAAAAATATATATATTTACAAACCAAAAAAAAAAATGTACACGTAATATATATATATATAAAAAACAAATGTTACCTTATCAATCGGTGTCATCGCAATTTCGACTGCTTTATCTTGAAGATCAAGTGCTCCACGAATAATTGTGACGCTATCCGTAACAAGATCACCCCCATGTTTAGTAGAAGATCCATGATAATTAATTAATTCCTTCAATTCTATATCATCAAAAAAAAAACAATATTGATAACGTTAATAATTTCGATATTGATGATGATAATAATTATCAACAATTCTATTATCCTATTTTAAGTTGTCTCGAATCTTACCCGCACGGCGATAAATTATACCATGATTTTCACCGAGAACTTTATCCAATAATTTTGCTATCGGATACGCGACTATATACTTTATATTAAAATTAAATGATAATTGTCGAAAATATATAAATATAGAAATATAATTAATAAAATTAAAATAAAAAAAATAACATGTAAAGTAATTAAACTTACGGTCAGCCACATCAATATTCTTACAGGCCTAAATAATTAGCAATGATATTTAGTAGCAATAATAATCATTAAATCTATTAATTAAAATATTATCATAACACGACTTGATTAATTTACCATGCAAAGAAGGCTCCGACGGCAAGTCCATATCTAGAACAAATAGCTTGTGGAATAATCTAATTAAATAATTATAAAGTGTATAAATATATTACCCTATTTATCCTTAAGATTTTTTTTTTTCTTAAAAAATTTTTTTTACCTCCCCAAAGATAACGATAAGAACGCTAGAAACTAAAATTGCTGTTATACCGCCGCCGCCCATCACGTCATCCATGATTATCGGAAGTGTTTCGTTGACTAATACATTAACAAGAAGAAGAGTGACCAGAAGCATATGCCCATTTTTACGTATAGGCTTAATTCGTGAAGCAAATTTCCTAATAAGTCGATAAAGAAATTTGAATATTGCAGGGAGAAGTACGTACGTACGCATACGTAATTAATTCAAACCCGTGTTACCGTTGTCGAGCGTCACCAGACGTAGCAAGAATATGAAGATTTGTTTCATCTAAACTCATCTAAATAAATAATAATAATTAATTTTAGAAACTATTTAAAAAAAAAAATACAATTTCAATTTTAATTATTCAATCATAAAAATTTAATGTACCAATCCCAGCGTCAACCCTAAAATTTTGAATTTTTTTGTTTTTTTTTTTAAATTAAAGACCAGACAATTTATAAATCTGTTCTATGCATTTAACCACCTTAACGACTTAAAAAACGATTTAAAAAAAACTTACCCGCAAACAAACCACCTAGTAGAACTAAAATAACTGTAAGAACAACTTTAAGCCAGTATGGAAGATTAAGTTGCTCATGAATTTTCGGATGGTGACGATTGTTCACATCAGGTACTGGGTCTTTGTAAAAATCCTCATATTGATAAGGACGCGCAAGAACTCGAGATATCGAAACTACTAAAAAAACTCCAACTAATATTACCCTCGACATCTATCAAAAAGAAATCAAATATTTCGTTTGAAAGAAATTGAATGGAAAAAGGCGTTTTTAATTTGTACTACTTTATTATTTAATGTAAATCACATCAAAAAAAAAAATATCCGTATGCGGGTATGTACTCTTGACCAAGATAGCATGTGATGTCATTACTATACCAAATAACAATAAACTTAGTAATTGTGTAATCGTGTAATTATCCCTCAATTATCCGACGGCGATTTGACCGCAGAATAATTTTATTATTGGGTAGAAACGAGAAGTTTAAAATAGTTCAAAATAGTTTCATAATACTGTAATAAGCCATCGGATATACCCGTTATCATGCTGATACTTACTGTCTTTTAACTTATTTATTTGGTCAAGGATTTTTAAGGTCAGCCTAAAAAATTAAATTCTTTCAATAGCAGTGCCCGATCCAAAGTGAATCCCTCTCAATCACAAATTAAATTATTTATGTTGGATTCAATTGTGATGGATATAATCCCTCACCAGTTTTAATATATGTGTA